CTCCTCTCCTCCTCTCTTCCTCATCCCCTTCCTACCTTCTCTCCTTCTCTCCTTCTCTCTTCCATCTTCCTCTCCTCACCTCTGTCTTCCTTCCCTCCTCTTCCTCGCCTCTCCTCTCCTCCTCTCCTCCTCTCCTCCTCTCTTCCTTTCTTTTTCTATTGTTGTAGGTCCTTTCTTTTCTCCCTCCTTCCCTTCTCTACTTCCTTCCTCTCTCCTTTCCCTTCCTTTTTCCCTTACCTCTCCCCTACTCTTCTCTTCCCCTTCCTGCCCTCTCTCCTTCTCCCTTCCATCTTCCTCTCCTCACCTCTATCTTCCTTCCCTCCTCTTCCTCTCCTCTCCTCTCCTCCTCCCTTTCTTTTTTCTATTGTTGTAGGCGTCTCCTCCAGCTCTTAATTTAATGTGGGTAATTCTTGACTTACAGCCATTTCTTTAGCGATCGTTCAAATTTACAACAGCACTGGAAACAAAAATAAAAGTGACTCGCAGCCAGTCCTCACACTTATGACCACGATGAACTTTGCCCAAAGTTGGGGTGCTTGGCAATTAGTTACAATGGTTGTAGCATTCCAGGAGTCACCTGATCGCCATTTGTGACCTAACCAGCTGGCTTCCCATCAGTAGTCCATGGGATTTGCTTAATGACATGATTCACTGAACAACCACAGTGCTTTGCTTAACAACCATGGCAAAAAAAATAATCAGGTGGTGAAATCAGGCGTGGCTCGCTTAACAAGTAGCCTTGCTTGGAAATTCGGGCTCGGTTTGTTGTCGTAAGTCGAGGACTACCTGAAGTCCGAGGATTAACCAGGGAGCAATGTAGGATTGAAGATGAAGATGAAGGAAAAAACAACAAGAGATACGTCTGTTTTGTTGGAAGAAAAGTCCTTCTGGGTTCAGCTCCAAGTGGAGGAAAAGACACTGGAAACATGGAGGCTGCTTGGAAAGATGGTTTAATGGTGGACAGGATCACATGGCTTGAGCCCTGAACAGAAAAGGGGGGGTCACATGCTTCCAGATGTTGGGTGAAGAAGTAAAAGAAACCGAGATGCTGAAAGTCCCTGGTTTTATGCCCTCTTTGGGCTTTGATCTTGTATTTTGATTGGTTGTCAGGCTCCCATGGGGCCATGCAGGGGCAACTCTCTAGGCTGTGAGTCCATGTTGGGTTGAGCCTTGCTTCCTCCCAGGTGCCCCGTGATGAGATGGGTAAAGAGTTAACCCTATCATGCTTTGATCCCATCACCCTGGAGCTGAAGGGGGAGATCTTTGTTGTGTAGAATAGACTGGCTCAGGCCCATTGACAAAGGTGGGGGCTATTAAGAGTGAGTCTGCTTCCTGCCTAAAAACATGTCTCTCCATTTCTGATGCAGGGAAAAATAATATTCTGCCTTTTCAATATTTCCCAGGATATTCCATTCTTCTAGGACAGTGTTTCTCAACCTTGGCAACTTGAAGATGTCTGGACTTCAACTCCCAGCATTCGCTGGCTGGGGAATTCTGGGACTTGAAGTCCAGGCATCTTCAAGTTGCCAAGGTTGAGAAACACTGTTCTAGGAGAAGGGTGGGTGCTACTTCTTCCAGTGAAACCGAGTGTAGTGCATTGTGTAAACTTGTGTTTGCTCACTGGCTTGGCTTGGCATCAGCTGGTGAAGATCAGCTGTCAATTCTGACCCGTCTCCATTACAATTGCAGAATACCAGAATCGACCCCAAGAGTGCCATGTTCACCCTGTGGAAAGACCTCCCGGTGCCCTTCTACATCTCCTTTTACTTCATGGAGGTGATGAATCCCAAGGACATCCTTCTAGGCGCCAAGCCAGTCGTCAGCCAGCGGGGGCCTTACGTGTACAGGTGCGCGCTACTCTCTTGGCTCGGCTCACAGGTGCTTGGGGGAGGGACTCTGCCTGCCTCAGCCAAATAAATCTTGGTTACAAATTTGGGGCAGGAGGGCAGGCCCAGGAGAAGGAGCTAATGTTGAAGGGAGAGGGAAAGGGAGGGAGGGAGGAAGTGCAGGAAGGAAGGAAATAAATGAGGAGAATAGAGAGAGGGAGGGAGAGAAGGAAGGAAGGAAAGGCAAAGAGAAAGAAGAAAAAAAGGAAGTGATGGAGGGTGAGTGGGAGACAGGAGGGGAGGAGGGCAATGAAATGGATGGAAGGAAGGAAGGAAATGGAGGGAGGGAAGGAAGGAAGGAAGAAAGGAAGCAAGGGCAAGGAGCAGGAAGGAAGAAAGAAAAGAAAAAAGGATGTGATGGAGGGTGGGTGGGTGGGTAGATGGGAGATGGGAAGGGAGGGAGGGCAATGAAATGCATGGGAGGAAGGAAATGGAGAGAAGGAAGGAAGGGAATGGAGAAGGAAGAAAGGAAAAGAAATGGAGTGAGACAGGAAGGAGGGAGGACAATGAAACAGGAAGGAGGGAGAGCGGAAAGGCAAGGAGATGGAAGGAAGGAAGGAAGGAAAAAAGGAAAGGGAGAGAGACAGGAAGGAGGGAGGGCAATGAAAGAAAGAGAAAGAAAGAATTAATTAATTAATTTAGCCACAGTTCTTTATGCTACCATTCTTGAATTCTTGAACTGTTTATTGCCTTGGTTGATATCTCATCAGGAAGGCCAATTTGGAATAAATGCTAGATATGTGGTGTATTTTTTGAGTAACAACAACACAAAGATAAAGAACACACTTCACAGCCAGCTGTAATCCTGTCTTTAGCATGGGCCCCATATACATAACCAGGGTATAATTTTGACCTCGGGCCAAACCAGGTTAATTGAGGCAAACATGGTCAAATCAACTGGGATAACCAAACTCAGCCCAAGGAGGAAGATTTTCCAGAACTGGAATGTTAATCAAATCATTTGCAAAACATTTAGGGATGGTTGCTCATTCAGAGATGCCTTTCTGATTTAATTCTGACTAAATTATAGCTTTTCCTGAAGGTGATTAAGCCGATAAAGGAAGAGCCATATCATTATTATGTGTTATTGGTTCCCACTGTTATTAATGTATTGTCCTTTCTGGGGTGTGTTTCTGGATGGTTATTTTAAGTCTTGTTTTCAGCAGAGTTTTGCTCCTGATGATATGAAATTAGTTTCAATTCCTCCCTCCCTCCCTCCCTCCCTCTCTTCTTTCTTTTATATTCTTCCTTCCTCCCCACCTTCCTTCCTTTCCCCCTCCCTTCTTTCCCTCTTTCTTTCTTTCCTTCTTTCTTTCTTTCTTTCTTTCTTTCTTTCTTTCTTTCTTTCTTTCTTTCTTTCTTTCTTTCTTTCTTTCTTTCTGATAGTTTACAGATTAACAGAGTTGGAAGGGACCTTGTAGGCAGTAGTGGGATTCAAATAATCTAACAACCGGTTCTCTGCCCTAACAATTTCTTCCAACAACCAGTTTACCAAACTGAATCAGAAACTTAACAACCGGTTCTCCTGAAGTAGTGCAAACTGGCTGAATCCCACCACTGCTTGTAGGTCATCTAGTCCAACCCCCCACCCAAGCAGGAGACCCTACACCATTTCTGACCAATGGCAGTCCAGTCTCATCTTGAAAGTGATGGAGCTTCCACAACTTCTGAAGGCAACTTCAGTCCCATGGGTTGATTGTTCTCATTGTCATGCCGGCCACATGACCACAGAGACGTCTTCAGACAGCGCTAGCTCTTCGGCTTTGAAACAGAGGGGAACCTTTACATTTAAATAATTGCCCCAAGTAGAAGATGGGGAAAAATTAAGGAAAGTTTCAGAATTATGTCAATTTTTCTCAGCTCTTTGTTTAAGGTTTATAGACTGAATGCAGCTAGTGAGATCAAATGTTAGTTAGATCTAAAGTTTGGTGCACCAGAAGGGGACTTGGTCGAGGGGACCCATCTCACTGCCAGCTCTGAAAAAATGCAGAGGTATTAGTGGAGTGGATTAATTTTTTTTTTTAAATGAGACCATAGGAGAAAGAACTGGAATAGAACCAACCTTAAACTACACGCAAAGACAGCAAGAGGAGTGGTTTGCTCACCTGGAGAGAATCCCTTAGGATCCTATGCCATAAAAGGCACATACAAAAAGAGGAGAAGGTCAAAGAACATGAGGCAGACCCAGAAGAAGATGGAAAGACAATATATGAAAGACGCACTACAATAGCATCAAATAGCAAGAAGGAGGAGGAGAGAGAAAGGAAGAAGAAAGGGGAGGAGGAGGGAGGAAGAGGGACGAGGAGGAAGAAGAAGAGAGAAAGGAGGAAGAGGGAGGAGGAGAAGGAGAAGAAGAGAAGAAGAGGAGGAGGAGGGGAAGAAAGAAGAAGAGGAACAGAGAGAGAGAGAAAGAAGAGAGAGAAGAGAAAGAGTTCTTTCATCACATAATTATGGGAAGGCTGCAACAATTATTAAGGGTGATATATGGTCGTAAGTCACTTTTTTCAGTGCTGTTATAACTGGTGACTGTACGTTGAGGACTCTTTATAAAAATCTACTATGCCAGTAAATCCATAGTGTCCATAAAAATATACAGACAAATAAGTTCCATGCATAAGTTTTCTGTACAGTTTCTCTCCACCAGAAAGAAGAAGAAGAGGAAGAAGGAGGAGGAAGAAGAAGAAGAGGAAGAGAAAGAAGAAGAGGAAGGAGAAGAGGTGGTGGTGGTGGAGGAGGAAGAGGAAGAAGGTGAAGAGGAAGAGGAGGAGGAAGAAGAAAGAAGGGAAAGAGGAGGAGGAAGAAGAAGAAAAAGAAGAAAAGGTGGTGGAGGAGGAGGAAGAAAGGAAAGAGGAAGAGGAGAAGGAGAAAGAAAGAAGGGGAAGAGGAGGAGTAAGAGGAAGAAGATGAAGAGAAAGAAGAAGAGAAAGAAGAAGTGGTGGAGGAGGAGGAAGAAGGTGAAGAGGAAGAGAGGAAGGAGGAAGAAGGAGAAAGGAGGAGGAAGAAAAGGAGAAGAAGAGGAAGAAGAGGAAGAGAAAGAAGAAGAGGAGGAGGAGGAAGAAGAAGAGGAGAAGGAGGAAGAAGAAAAAGATTATTTATTTATTTATTGGTTATGGATTCATGATAAACCACCCAATTCCAAATGTTTATAAAGTTTAGCAGTTGCTTAACCGACCTCCCACGCGTCGCAAGGCAGAGGCCAGCTCCACCGCTTTTACACAACACAGCTGAGGACGGTTGCATCTGGAAGGCTCAATCCGTGCAGCCGGTGGCATTTCTGCCTGCCTTTCATCACCAGCTTCTTGGTGGAGCAAAGTGTGAGATGGTTAGCCTCCCCATGTGGGAGAGATTACGAAAAAGACCCCAGGGTGAAGGCATGTGAATCACTGTTTTTGTACTCCCTGTTAAGTAAGTATAAATTTAGAAATGAATTATAATCCCCAGAATTTATTCCCAGGATTAAAGACTTGAGATAAATGGCCGAGTCATTTTTGAAGCAATTGCCTTCCACCAATGGAAGGAACAATGTCTAAGGCTGAACTGGGTCAGGGGTTACCATGCATTTTTATTGTCTTGTTTACTCATGGTGGTTTGGTTGCATTTCTTCACGTGGGGCTTTCTGAGTTGGTTGTTTGCTTGCAGCTGTTTCATTAACCAATGAGGCCACATCATCAAGGCAAGGAACAAGTGACAGTAGAAAAGCTGAGCCAATAGAAGGGCTAAAACCAGCAGCCCAGATAAGCAGGGATTAACACCAGACAAAAGTGCAGGTAGAAAATAATTCCCTAATCCAGAAGTGACCAAAGACAAAACCACACTGTCACTAACACTGCCAGGATAATCTTCCGTATATAAACAGGAATGGAACTCCACATTTCTTCCCACCGATGATGTGACCTAGTTGGCAAAGGATACACCTGCAAGAGAATCAGAGAGCATCGAGGAATCCAAAATCATCATCCTCCTCCTCTCTACAAATCCCACTCCATTCTAGTACTGATGATATTATCTACTTGGGTCATGAAACATCTGCAAGAAAACAACCAAGGACCCTACAGTCCTCCTCCTGACAAACCCTCCTATTTTCTGGTACTGATGATGTTGCCTAGGTTGGTAATGAAATATCTGCAAGAAAATCACCAAGCTGAGGGGACCCTATAGTTGTTGTTGTTCTCCTCTTTTTCTTCCTCCTCCTCCCCCTCCTCCTTGCAAAATCCCATCCCTTTTAGCACTGATGATGGGTTATGAAACATCTGCAAGAAAACCACCAAGTTCAGAGAGCACCAAGGATGCCACCATTCTCCTCCTCCTCCTCCTCCTCTCCACAAACCCCACTCCATTCCAACACTGATGATATTGCCTAGCTTGCTAATAAAACATCTGCAAGAAAACCCCCAAGCTCAGAGAATACCAATCACCCCACACTCCTCCTCTTCCTCCCTACAAACTCCATTCCCTTCTAGCACTGATGATGTTGGCTAGCTTGGTAGTGAAACGTCTGCAGGAAAACCACCAAGCTCAGGAGGCATCAAGTCTCAACCCTGAGCTACAGAGATTGTCTTCTATTGAAACCCTTATAAAAACAAGCCCGTACAATTAGACGTATTTCGAGATTGCTACAAAGGAATCACAAACCAAGGGATTTTCTCAGGCTGCATAGGTCAGGGCAAGCCACTCACTCGTGCATGGTTGTACCAGTTTTCAGAAAAGACAGAAACAAAGAAAAGGTCTTGGCACCAATCTTACAAGTGGAAACCTCAACTTTTTAAGAGCAGACTGTTTGCAGCTGCTAAATTTGGATGGAAGGCTGAGCCCAGCCTGTCTTTTTCGGTTTGGACCGAGGGAGGATTGCTGGCCTCTTTCCCAAACTGGAGCAACTGTCTGGATCTTCTTTTCAATTTAGCGTCACTCCAACCATCCAAATGTATAACAACCGGGAAACTGTTCGGCCTCAGCTTGTGGTGGGGAACGCGGCCTGGATCCCTTGCAAAATAAAATTGTTGGAAAGCAAGAAGTGCCCTTTGTTTGATTTTAATTGGAGGAGTCTGCGCAACCACGGGCAATCCTGGGCCTCATTTAAACTGGAGCCAAAACGAAATTATTGGTTTACCTGCCATTTAGAAGAACGTCTCTTTCCTGCTTAAATAGGGGGTTTAAATCACACAAAAAAAGAACCCGTCCTTCTAACTCCTGATGGCTCAGTGGCTAAGACACTGAGCTTGTCCATCAAAACCGCTAGGGGTTCGGCGGTTCGAATCCCTAGCGCCGCATAAGGGAGTGAGCTCCCGTTACATGTACCAGCTTCTGCCAACCTAGCAGTTCGAAAGCACGTAAAAAATGCAAGTAGAAAAATAGGAACCATCTTTGGTGGGAAGGGAAGAGCATTCCGTGCACCTTTGGCATTTAGTCATGCCGAGCACCTCACCACGGAGACGTCTTCGGACAGCGCTGGCTCTTCAGCTTTGAAATGGAGATGAGCACCGCCCCCTAGAGTCGGGAACGACTAGCACATATGTATGAGGGGAACTTTTACCATTTTAACCCCTGATTTGTTTTGTCGTGTTCTTTTGCAGGGAATACAGGCAGAAAAAGAACATTACTTTTCATAGTAACAACACTGTCTCCTTTCTGAGTTATCGCTCCTTCGTCTTCCAACCAGACCGTTCCAACGGATCGGAATCCGATTATATCATGATGCCGAATATCTTGGTTTTGGTAAGTGAGCTTCCAACTCTGGGGATCTTTTTTATTATTATTTTTTATTATGCAATTTTCTTTGTCTATATAAACATATAAATGACTCTGTGTGTGTGTGTGTGTGTGTTCTAGCATTACTCTGGAATGCCTCAAGCAATTTCAACTAAACTTGGTACACAGATGACATACTCTCTAGAAACAAATTCTGTGGGGGTAAGACACCCCTAACACCCCTCAGGATATGTGTTTTGTTAAGATACAGCCTGTTGTGCCTTAGAATGGCTTCTACCGTACTTCCTTAAAATGAATTCTACTATACAGCGCTGTGGAGTTGCCAGTACTCCACAAGGGGGCTCCCTCTGGTAAGGAGGAAAATCCAACATTAGAAATTACGTTGGGTCTGGACATTTTCCCCTATAAATAAATACCTGGACAATGCCAAGATCAGCTATTTATATATATAAAATTTCCATATCCACAATGGCTGTGTTCTGACTCGGTACAATCTCTTTTAAATGCAAATAATAAATCTTACACATACAATACTATTATTCTCAAAATCTATTCACCTTAATCTTTACATATCCTTATTAAACATTTTCTGTTATTTAATTAAACATCTTCTTTGGCTTTGTCTATAATTAGTTAATAATATCAAGCATTATAAACATCATATAACCATCACATTTGTAACTATTATTGTCCAGGTCTATTAATTATAATGTTTACTTATTCAATATGCATTATTTAATTACACATTTCTTCATTTTTATTTACTCCTTAATTCTAAATTTCTAACTTCTGCTTCTATTTTCTAACCATTGATAAAATAATTCCCAAGTTAAAAAGTATCCTGTTTTCTCCTTATCCTTAATTTGCAATGTTAATCTATCCATTTCAGCACATTCTAGTATTTTCTTTATTACATTTTCCTCTATAGGTATATTTTTCATTTTTCCAATGTTGTGCATACACAATTCTCGCTGCTGTTACCACATGTAAAATTAAATATGTATTTCTTTTATTATATTTCTATGGTAGGATACCCAACAAGAACATCTCTGGTTTTAGGTGTGTTTGTTGTTTTGTCATTTCTTCTAGCCACCGTTCTGACCTAGGCTTCCTGAGAAAGCATCAATCACACGCTTAGTACCCAAACCCCTCTTTTTATTTAAACAGCTGTGAATTATGGTCACTCACAGCCCGTAATGATTGACAAACAGTCTGTGAAGAGTCCGACAGAAGTCTGCCACAGTCTTTCAGGGTAATGCTGATAAGCACCCATCTTTATCTCCCTTGAAACGCTGCCAGAGACCTAATTGCCAATTAGTTTTGCAAGGCCAAACGGAGCTTCTCAGAGTTTGAACCGACCAGAATGGACAAAATTGCTTCCTTGCAAAGGCTCACGTCCGTTTGCTCCTCTTTTATGCCTTATGGGAGGGGCCAATCATCTCCAGGCCTTACTCCCAAGTTGACCTTTTTGTCTTAATTGTTCTTGCCTTCTGGAAGCTCTGCGCATGCACGCAGTGGGAACAGGCTCACACTGTTCTTCTGCCTCACTGATGTCAGACTCCGAAGGCAGCACATAACTATCAGATGGTCCTGACTGCCTCTGTGCGTCTGACGCAGCCTTCCTCAGACTCCAGGACTGGCTCATGTTCCTCCCCAACCTCCTCACTGTCCGACTCTGCTGCCAGCTCTGCAGGATGCCAACGGACCACAAAAGTCAAAATTTTATTTTTAACCAATATTTTTTTGCCATAGGACAAGTCCACCACATATGATAATAAGAACCCGATATTTGTTTACTCTCCAAACATCTGGGAGATATGTTTTGGAACATATTTGCCATTCTTGCTGGTGGCAGATGCCGCCTATGAAACATTTTGTAGAGATTTTCTTTGTAGGCTGTTGACATCGTCAATTTATAGTTTCTATCCCAGCCAATTCTGGGGACCGTCAACCCATCTTCACAGAACAGGTGTCATTTCTGGAACTTTTGTGCAAAGGCTCCATATTTTTTACCGATTTTGGTTTTTTCCCCCATTTTGGGCTTCACCTAGCAATATGTTCCCCCCAGAAGGATGTTTGACCTTGCTTTTCATAAAGTCAGATTCTATCCCAGCAACGATGCTAGCTGGGCTTCATTGTATTATTACACTAAAAAAAATTATTGCACAGATTGTTGGTTTTGTTTTTCCCTTAGTGTGCACTCAAAGTCTCAGTGGAACAGGGCGATCTGCAAATATTGCAGAGAATTCAGTAAATAAATACTTGCAATCTTCCGCAGGATTGCAGGAAAAGATGAACAGATTCCAGAATTTCCCTCTATGTTTCAGAAACGAAGCACCACAAAGTCACCAAGGAATTGATTCTTTGCTTGCTAATGGCTACAAGATTTTTTCTCGAGAGCCACCAATAACCTTTGCATACTTAGAAATAAATACAGTTTGTTGATGTCAGGATTTACAGGCGCCATTTTCTTTGAAGGCCAAAGGGAAGATATGGAGTTATTTCTGTTAAAGAGAAATGTTACTTACAGTAGTGGCCAAAATTGTGGAAAAAAATGTATTTTTGAGATTTGATGGCTAATAACACCACTTTTTTGGGGGGGGAGTTTCAAGATAATCACATTTCACTGCTGGAATGGCCTGGGAATAGCCCAAACCTTAACCCAATTGAAAATCTATGGAGCCAACCCAGTTAAAACCCAGTTAATAGAAGCAATCATTCCATCTTGGTTTTACATTATAACAGCTAAAAAACTAAAAGACTTGGTTCACTCCATGGGAAGACATTGTAAGGCTGTAATTCCTGCTAAAGGTTGCCCAACTAAGTATTAACTGACATGGTGATCATTTTTGTATATCTTCTTTTTTCTATGGTGATCATTTTTATATATCTCGTTTCACTTTTCTTCTTTATAACTGCTATTCTAATAGAAAATCCTTCATAAAAGTTATTGCATTACATTCTTGATTAAATTATCTTTCCATTGATATATAATCTTATGGTACAACTCCCTGCAAAAGTGGTGTTATTAGCTAGTTTTAGAAAATACACTTTTCCCAAAAGGTTTCCACAATTTTGGCCATTACTGTATACAAGGGGATTTCCATGCCATTTCTGACAGTCCCCAGCTCTGAAACAATTGGAGGTTGATAAGTGTCAGAAATGGTGTAGAGTCTCCTGCTGGGGTGGGGGAGAGGGTTGGACTAGATGACCTCCAAGGTCCCTTCCAATCCTGTTATTCTATATTCAGTGGAACGACTTGCCTTCGGAAGTTGTGGGAGCTTCATCACTGGAGGCTTTCAAGAAGAGACTGGACTGCCATCTGTCAGAAATGGTGTAGGGTCTCCTGCTTGGACTAGATGACCTACAAGGTCCCTTCCAACTCTGTTCATTTGTAAGGTCATCCTCGACTTACAATAGTTCATTTAGTGCCCATTCAAAGTTACAGCGGAACCGGAAAAAGTTATGATGACTGTTTTTCACGCTTAACTTGCAGCATCCCCATGGTCAAAAGTCTTAGGAATTGACACATAATAATAAGTCCTTGTTTTGTTTAAATGTGGTTTTAGTGACATACTTCTAAGGGCGTAGGCCTAAACAAAACCAGATGGATATCTCCTCCTCGATGGAACAAAAACTGGATAGCAATTAGGAAAGGCACCTCCACATTTATAGAATATGAGAATAATAGAATGACAGAGTTGGAAGGGACTTCGGAGGTCTTCTAGTCCAACCCCCTGCTGAAGCAGGAAACTCTACACCATTTCAGACAAACAGCTGTCCAATCTCTTCTTGAAGACCTCCAGAGATGGAGCACCCAAAACTCCTAGTGGCAAGCCGTTCCCTTGATTAAATTAAGCCAACTAATTAATAGCAATAGCACTTAGAAATAGCAGACTTATATGCCACTTCACAGTGCTTTACAGCCCTCTCTAAGCGGTTTAAAGAGTCTTGCCCCCAACAATCTGGGTCCTCATTTTACCCACCTTGGAAGGATGGAAGGTGTGTCAGCCTTGAACTGGTTAGAATCAAACTGCTGGCAGTGGGTAAATTTGCCTGCAATACTGCATTCTGACCATTGTGGGACAGAAGGAAGGAAGGAAGGAAGGAAGGAAGGAAGGAAGGAAGGAAGGAAGGAAGGAAGGAAAAAGGAAAAAGGAAAAAGGAAAAAGGAAAAAGGAAGGGCGATACCAATAGCACTTAGACTTATATACCACTTCACAGTGCTTTACAGCCCTCTCTAAGCGGTTTCCAGAATCAGCCTTTTGCACCCAACAATCTGGGTCCTCATTTTACCCACTTCGGAAGGATGGAAGGCTGAGTCAACCTTGAGCCAGTGAGGATTGAACTCCTGGCAGTTGGCAGAATTAATCTGCAGTGCTGCATCCTAACTGCGGCGCCACCACGACCAGTTTTTAAAACTATTCTTTCTGTTTGTTCTGATTCTTCTTTTACTCTGTTGATTTTTATTTTTATTTTCCTTCAAGGGAGCAGCCATCATCTTGGAAAACATGCCCTTTCCCATGAGGGTAGCCTTCAGCAGCGCCCTGGCCCTCTTCCATCAAAATGCCTTCATGAACCGGACAGTTGGAGATATCATTTGGGGGTACAATGAGCCCTTCACCCAGTTCCTGAGCAGCCTAGGGGTCAGCGTAGGTCCAGGCAATGAAAAATTCGGCTTGTTTTCCGACGTAAGTCAGAACCTTGGGGTTGGGGTCTGGGTCCACACCTGAACATTGGGGTTGAAATGGGCAGATATCTCCAAGAACAGAGACTTCCTACAAGGAAACTACAGCTATCATATTTGTTGGAGGGAAAAATCAGAAACTGCCTTCTCAGTTATTTTTTTAACCAAGTTGAAAGAAGTACAGGGCAGTGGTGAAATTCAATTATTTTACTACCGGTTCTGTGGGTGTGGCTTGGTGGGTGTGGCTTGGTGGGCATGGCAGGGGAAGGATACTGTAAAATCTCCATTCCCACCCCACTCTAGGGGAAGGATGGTGCAAAATCTCCATTCCCTCCCCACTCCAGGGGAAGGATACTGCAAAATCTCCATTCCCCCCCTATTCCAGGGGCCAGCCAGAGATGGCATTTGCCAATTCTTCCAACTCCAAAAAATTTCCGCTACCGGTTCTCTGAACTACTCAAAATTTCCACTGTCAGAACCTGTCAGAACCTGCTGGATTTTACCCCTGGTATAGGGAGTCCTTGATTTACAACAGTTCATTTAGTGACCGAAGTTCCAGCGGGATAGAAAAAAAGGGATTTACAGTATATCACAGAAGGTATTATACCCCCTCACATTTTTGTTGCCAGCAGTTTAGACATTAATGGCTGTGTGCTGCATTATTTTGAGGGGACAGCACATTTACACCGTTATACAAGCTGTGTCCTCACTACTTTACATTATAGTCCAGTGTCATTTCTTCAGTGTTGTCACATGAAAAGATATACTTAAATATTCACAAAATGTGAGGGGGGTACTCCCTTCTGTGATATAATTGTATGGCCGTTTTTCACACTTAATGACTGTTGCAGGCTCCCCGTGGTTATTTGATCAAAATTCAGACGCTTTATAACGGTCACAATGTCCCCGAGTCACATGATCCCCTTTTGCGACCTTCTGACAAGGCAGGTCAATGGGGGAAGACAGATTTACTTAACAACCGTGTGACTCACTTAACAACTGCAGGAATTCAGTGAACAATTGGCCAGTAGTCATGAAATGGGGCAAAACCTTCACTTTACAGCTGTCTTGCTTAGCAATGGAGATGCTAGGCTCAACTGTGGTTGTAAATTGAGGATTTTTGAGTTCCCCTGATGAGTTCCCCCTACTTCATTACGGTCGCTTTCCAAATTAACATACTGGAGGTGTTGCATTGGTGCAAACTGTTTGGGGAATCCTGCCACGATTTCAATCTTAAATCTTGGAATGTTGGCCAAATGCAGAGCCCAGTTTTTCTCCCAGCCAGCCAGCATAACCAGTGGTCAGGAAGGATGCCGGTTCCTCCCTGAATGTAGACACCCACAACTAATCAGAGATCAAGAAAGCTGAACGTTAACAGCCCACTCCTAGAAACTTAACAATGGTGGGAAAATATGTGGAGGAAAAATTTACACTAAACTATAATTAAGAAGAAAACCAAATCTTATCAAGTGAATCCCTACAGTTGTTGTAGCTGTGCAATAAAGTAGAGGTTGTTCGGGAAACAAAAATAAGGAATTGATGCAGTAAATTTAGTTGCACATATTGAAAACTGCTTTTTAAGGAAGAAAGGTCAACAAGTTAAAAAAAACAACTACAAAACCAGAAAATGATTACAAAACAGAAATACGAAATAGACTGTAGCAAATAAATAATAGGAAATGGATGCAAAATGACGCAAATGTAATGAAGGCTGTTATACATAGAATATATAAAATGTTATATATAGAATGAAGAAAAAAGATGTATGAAATAATATAAATGCACATATATATAAAGTTATAGTTATACAAGATTTATATGTACAGATAAAAGAATCACAACAGATATGTAAAAGAAATGTAATGTGTTGCAAAGATGTGAAGTTTGCATAAACAAGATTTTAAAAAAATGAAAACTGCTTTTTAAAAAATAGTCCTATTATTTCAATTTTTGTAGCCAACGAAGAAAGACGCGGTGGCTCAGTGGCTAAGACGCTGAGCTTGTCGATCAGAAAGGTCGGCAGTAAGGCGGTTCGAATCCCTAGTGCTGCGTAATAGAGTGAGCTCCCGGTACTTTCCCCAGCTTCTGCCAACCTAGCAGTTCGAAAGCATGTAAAAAATGCAAGTAGAAAAATAGGAACCACCTTTGGTG